GACGAATGGTATATGAACATATTATTGCTCTCCAACTACCATGGGACCGTATCTAACGTCGCTCCACTGCGTTGTGGATTGAACCATTAGGTCGAATGCTCAGTGAGTGGCTACCTAGGAGAACTATCTGTTTCGGTTTAGGCACCAAGGCATTATCCCAGAGCACACATATTCAATGAGTTCTGTAGCTCATGTGTTTTGACGCCTCTTTATACCTATATTAGTGTGTATTTGAGCAAACAAATAAGATAGTTGTCCATGGCAAGCAATTAAATATAGTTGTTCAATATCACAAATCAGTTAAAGTAAGACACACACATTATTAAATGACAGCTCAGTGGTCTAGTAGTTATTCCTTTGAGCTAAACATCTGTCATTGATTTGATTTACTGTGTCACGGTCGTAAATGGGCACTTCTGAATACTAATATACTAAAATGATACTTCTATCCAGTACTCTCTAGTTTTCAATAATGACCTAACTATGATCAGTTTGTGATTTAAACTCTGACCAACCTACAACCACAAACCCCCCAAGTATTAAAATCAATTCAGTCATTGAAAACCTCTATACGACATGAGTAAACATGTCTAAGGCATTGAAACTTGTAAATTAATATGATAAGACTAATTATAAATACATTTGAAATCATCAATCAATCATTGTTAGACCACCATTAGAAACCTCGAAGCACTGGACGGCCGTTTCGTCCTGGTATGGGACTCATCAGCAGTGCGCATCCACGACTCCTGCATCTCGCAGGGTTCGAACTCGGGACCTTCGGTATTGTGCGCGAACGCCTAACCATCGGACCACTGGGCCGACATCCAACGGTGTTAATGTCTGACTCTGATTGATCTACCAATTCCACTATGCTTGGATTCACGTAGCCAAACTCCCTTATTCCTTAAACGTTATTTTCACTGAATCTGAGTAATTCTTTGGAAACAAAGAGTTACTTTTTTTTCTGGTCATTCAGTAATTCATACATAAATTCTAGTCATGATGTGCAAAGTCGTGCATTTTGATTGTAGACCTATAGGTTTTGCGCATGTGATAATCACTTACACGTACTTCCAATTGTACTTTACATTTCATCTTTTCAATGCCACACAAATTTTTTTTAAATTGAATTATTCTCTAAAAAACAATAAAAATATTTTTTTTATTTATCTCCCCCTTCAACAAAAAGGTTGTCCCACCAGATCAATCATTTGAAAAATCATCAAAATATCCATATGTTGGCATGTTTTGGTTTCGATTTTGGCAATTCGGTGATTGGTACGATGTTGTGGTGGATGATCGTTTACCAACACGTAATGGACATTTAGTATTTATGCATTCAGCAGATTCAAATGAATTTTGGTCAGCTTTATTAGAGAAAGCTTATGCTAAGTTAGTTAATAATGACATTCCTATTATTATTATTATTATTATTATTATTATTATTATGAATACGTTGATTATAATAGATTATTGTGTTATGTTTTTATTTGATAGTTTACGTAATAACAGTTTCAGGATATTAGCTAACAATGAGCAGCTAGTTGATAAAGCAGTGAAGATTTATCGACTAGAGTGGCTAGGATATGTTGTAGGTATCCTTAATCGCCACCTACCATGAAGGGCAATATCGACTGTTGTAAAGAATTTAGGTTGAAGGAAAGTCATGAATGGCATCACTTCACGAGGTCGCTGACTAGTTGAATTGAACTGTTTCAGTTCGTGCAAATCACTTGGTTTACTTAAAGAATGGTAGGAGATGTTAGGTGACATAGATTACATCCAGTCGTAATAATGTAATTGCATTCACTGTTTTCCTTTGCTTACGTTTTGATGTTTAAAATCAAAAACATCAAAACGTAAGCGAAGGAAATATTGTCGACTACCTGGTTGGGGTCCGCGAGATGATAATAATCGATGGTTAGACACCTTGAATGACATGGCTCAAAATCGTTCGCAATGGCGCCAGTGCATTTATTCTCTGTGTTCTCTCAAATTCTAATCTTCTGGATTCTTCAACACATCTAGTTTCGACTCTCTAAACTTTTCTCACTGAATCATACTTGTTGAATAATATCTTCTAATCCTAACCTCTCCGATTACTTCTAATTCCCTTACTACCTCTACTTCTATTGGATTTGAATTGACGATTACTTCTCTGTGCTGATGTGATATGGCAACATGAACTGATGTACTTATGTACAAAGTTCTATGTTGCATCTGACCGACTGACTGACTGATGTTTAAAATCGTACTTTTCTATTCCACTAATTAATTCCTCGAATCTTATTGTCTATGCCTAATCTTTTCACTATTCCGATGTTTGTCTTGATAATTTTATCTCCCTCTCTGCTGATTCAGTGTTCAATCTTGAACTAAAACACATATACTCTATTGGATATTGAAATCTGTAGTCCGGTTAAACATGTGTTTTAAACAGTTCACTCGCATAATTAGGCTTTTTGACCCATGGATCTGGAATTAAATATTATTGGTGTGAATCATCATCAGTAGTTGTGTATGTAGTCTAAAACAAAGTAAGAAATAGAAGTTAATAATATCAGCAGAAATAACAAGGAAGATTTATGACTTTGGTGCTTTGGACGTGTACCATATCTACCTTACCACCTCTTACACTGACGATCGATGCTTACTAGTGCAGGAGTAGGTTTGAAAAAGGCTCGGGGCAGTTAAATCAAAACGTAGCACCGGTTGATCTAAGCCATATAGGAAAATTTAGACTACCTGGTCAGGGTCCACATAATAACCGTTATCAATAATTGTAGACTTTGAGTAACATAGTTCTCGTACTGTTTTTATTGACACAGATGAATTTATTCTTCATTTTTTTCATCGATCCTAACTTCCTGTATCTCTTTTTACATACGTTTTGCTTTCAAATCTTTTCTAATCAGGTTCCTAACTGTTATTCTTTCTTCTTATCACTATTACAAAATTAATACTGTCTTTTTTTCATCTTATCATACTAATAGAATGTGGCAACTTGTGTCGAGAACACATCTGTTGATAATGTCCACCTGTCTATTTGATGGAGAAGAGATTAAAGTACGAAAATGTGATTTAAATGGCTATTAATTTATTCGAACCAAAGTTTCAACTGACAGACTATTCAGTTCTACTGATTTATAATTTTTGATCGATTTTACATGATTATCACATAGTTCATACGATTTTTATTACTTATACTTCACTAATCCCTTAATTTTTTTCATTTGAGACTATATTTTCATCGTGTTTTGCTTTACTCTTCTTCTTAAGACTTGTATCTTCATATGATGCACTACGTGGTGGGTGTACAGCAGAAGCAATGGAAGATTTTACTGGTGGTCTTACAGAACTTGTTGATTTAGGTTCAAAAGCTCCTACTAATTTATTTGGTATGATGGAACATGCATTAAATCGTGCCTCTTTAATGGCTTGTAGTATTGATGCTGATCCACATGAGATTGAAGCAAATGGTCCATTAGGATTAATTCTTGGTCATGCTTATTCTGTGACAGATATACGACAGGTAAATTGTTTTTTCTGCAATAACTGTACAGTTGTTATCTCTTAAAATATATACATATACATTCTGTGTATATAATTAAGTGTTTATTGTCTGATAAACAAAATCAGTTGTCTCATTTACAAGTATCTAAATTGTTGGAGACGTTAGATCCCCAAAGCTCACTTGATTAAGGTCCTAAATTTGGATTTTGTGGTTATTGGTTCATGTATTTACTATCGTGTATAAATAAACTCGATTTGTATGCTTGTCAACCTCATATTTTTTGGGGTTCTTGTAAAATACACTTTCTACGCCTTATCAAGACTTTTTCTTCTTCTACTTAGTGGAGCCTTGAGACGCTCGGATTAGAGTAGCCTATCGTGTCACTGGATCATTTATCTTCGCTCTCATTTACCACCGACTATAATGAATTCGTAATAGCATTCAAGCATATCAATGAACGAGCATAACATACGTGTAGTGTAATAATCAACATATGTTCGTGCACATTATGTAACTATTTATTAATAGTAAATAACAAAATAACTGAGCAATTCAAAGTTTTGTTGTAAACTTGGTGAATAGATACACGTTATGTGAAATAGTTGAACATGTGGACACATGAGACAATGTATGGTATATATATTTCATTCTGACATTTTTTTGTTAATAAACGAAAATAATGAGTTGAATGAGACTAGCTAACACATTAGATTTTTAAGCGCACATTTCTTTCTGGTTTAGAACCTCCTTCCGTCCGATTTACTTAAGTTTAGGTTGCCGATTAAGTATGCTTTAAAATGTCTTTCAAAACTAAATTTATGCAGAAAAAATTATATTTTTTCTTCTGTATACATTTTTAATTTACTTAAATTTATATTTATAAATATTGGAAATAATAGATCAACATCATGCTATCATTCCTATTGAACTACATTTTTATTGATAATTGTGTTGGGGATGTTAGATCCCCAAAATTCGCTTGATAAATGCCTTATTTTGGTTTTCACGTTTGCCAGCATGGGCTGATCAGTTGACCTTGAGATTTCAATTCCCACCAGGAAAATCCATGGCTGTGATTGGCTGCTGTGTATTTTAGTGTGCTATTTTCTTAACTGTCTCAAGGACGTTTCTATGTTGTATAAATAAACGAGAGTTGTATGCTTGATTGTATTGTGTGATTGTTGGGTGTTTGTAGAATATACTTTCTACGCTTACAAAGCCTTTTTTCTTCAGCTTGCGGATTCAAGGTAGCCTACCTGGACGCTGGTAAAAGTCTCGTTCGCGTTTATCGACTAAGGTAAACTCGTAATAGCTTCAAGCATACCTGGTGACGAACCCTACAGATTGGTTTTTTGTTTATCAGTTTATATTGTTTCTGTTTTAATGTGTTTGTAGATTACATGTATATTTGGCAAATTTTTATCCCAGTTCTTCATGACTTACTTGTACGTTGGCTCTCTCTCCCTCTCGCGCGCTCTTTATATTAGCTTTGTATTTTAACATTTACAGTTTTCGAAATGATCTTCTTAGATATTTTAAGCAGAGTTAAATGTCAGCCAGTCAGTCAGTTACAACATAGAACTTTGTACTTATGTACACCACCACGTCAAGGTAACAGCTACGGTCGAGAGTTAAATGTCATCTAGTAGTGAAATCCAAGAGGAGTGTTTCCTCCAACTTGGGATTTGTCGACTTGATCTTGCATTCCAAAGTTGATGTTTAATTTGAGATTTGAACTCATCACCTTTCTCTTCAAATACCATTGTGCTATCCATTTGGCTACAGAATCCGGATTATTATCACTGGACTGGACACTAACCACTCTGAAATGCTTGCACATCCAGCTGACGAGTCCCAAATGAGACGAAACCTGCGTCCTAGATTCCATTGTGGTGCCAGCTACATATAAGTAGTATATGACGTGAGCGTCAACGTAATGTCTGGCAGCAGATGGGGGAAGATCAAGAAAGGAAGAGTTAAAACACGATGGAATTTGTATGAAATGCATGAATAGTGACGACAATGGATTGATGTTTTGCAACAGGAACAGTCCAGTTCGATATGATGAACTGATATTTTGCAAATGAACGATTTACGATATGGTTTTCCTATTTTACTGAGTAACTCTGTAATTTTCATTAAATACAATCCGGTTGCCCCACCTGTTTTCTCGTTCACTACACCATTACTAGTCACCAGCTAAATCCTCTTAAACTGCTTTGAACTATCTAGAAGTTTTTCACACGTGATACATTTATGTGAAAAGAAATTGGTCAATTTCAGTCTTAAATGTCAATGATAAGATCCAAACAATCAATATGAATGGATCTTAGCTATGTTTTTAAGTGTACATAAATATTTGTTCGCTAGAAATTTTCATTCATCTTTGTCCACTTATGATAAATCTATTATTAAGTTACTTTAATCAACTAGAGATATGTTGTGTTTATCTTATAAAACAAAACACAAACTAAGGACATTTTGAATATGAATTTATGAGAATATATTTTGCATTACATCAATCCCATCAAAAAATTTCCGAATTTTTTTCAAATGTACATCTATTCTATCTCTACTTTGGTTGTGTTGCGATTCTTCAACATTCATGATATTTAATTTCTCAACTAATTTTTCAGTAGAATCCCTTATTTTGACAATTTTTCAAAATTCACTTTATAAATAGTAGTCGAAACGATAAATTGGCAGTTGAATACATAGAAGATGATAAATGATTAAATCGTTGGTAGTCTTAACTTTATTTATGATCATCCTTAGAAGTTACGAATTTTGCATTAGACTATTATGGAGATAGTAGTTTTTCCTGTGGAAATCATGAATGAATTATTGGATGCTGGCTCGGCGGTCTAGAGGTTAAGCGTTCGCGCACAAGACCGAAGGACCTGGGTTCGAATTGTGCGAGTAGTAGGAGTTGTGGGTGTGCTCCACAGCAGGACGAAACAGCCGTCCAGTGCTTTCAAGTTTCTAATGATGGTCTAATGATAATTCATTCATGGTTTCGAGATGTCTCAGAAGCATTGCTCGTGTATCATGGGATAACCGTATAAGCGATGATGTCGTTAGGAAACGAGTTCTAGGCAAGGATGGCAGATCAATCGATGAAGTGGTGAAACTTCATCAGTTGAGGTGGTTGGGACATGTGTTGCGTATGCCTAACCACCGACTGCCTCGACGAGCTTTGTTTTATAGTGTAGGAGTAGGTTGGAAGAAAGCTAAGGGCGGCCAAACCAAAACCTGACACAAATCCATGAAGTCACTGACAAGTGGACTGAGTCATGTTGATAGATTTAGGCTACCTGGTTGGGGTCCGCGAGACGAAAGTCACAGATGGTTAGAGACCTTGAACGACATGGCTCAGAATTATACTTCTTGAATAATATCTTCAGATCCTAGTCTTCTTCATTACCATTAATACCTCTACTATCTTTATCACTATGAGATTTGATTTGACATTTGCGTCTCTGTGCTAATGTGGTATGACAACATAAACTTATGTACATACGTACGAAGTTCTACCTTTGAGCCTGACTGATGGAAAATATTCATATTGCAAATGTAAATCGTTTTTCATAAAACACCAGCTCAATGTTCAATTCGTTTCAATAACTTGATCTACATCTTTTTTCCGTATTTTGATAACCGAAAAGATTACCTTTTTTCCTATTATACTTTGATGATTGAAATCAACTTTTTATTCTAACTCGTGATATTATTATTTTCAATGTGGACCTTTGTATATTACAACTCTTTTCTCAATAGAGAAATATTAAAATTCATATGATCATAATGTAGAACCTATTAATCTTTTTGAAATTAGTTGAAAATTCTTTATACAACTTTTGTCACAAGATTGTTTTTTTTTTCGTTTTGGTGAATGATGTTAAAACTACTGAATTTTAAAATTTAATTTTTTTTTATGTGACTAACCGTGAACGTGTTAGATTTTTAATGAAGGATGTTAAGTTGGTTGGGAATGTCTATGCTGAAAGATTACGACGAAATGTCAATGTGTACAGTGTGTGTCTTTTATATAGTTTATTCATTGATCACAATGTGTCTATGATTAGTTTCTGATTAAGGAGGAGCTTATTTAAATGAAGGTTTTATGAGCTTTCTTTTCAGTATCTATAGATAGTGCCGTATTATATGATCCAATAGTGACAATCGTCACTGTGTGCTTAATGTGTTTATGGCAACTTGAATTGATGTAGACAGACAGACAAGATAAACGCAGAACTTCGTACATAAGTACATCAGTTCACGTTGTCATACCACAACATCAGAACAGAGACGTAACTGTCAGTTCGAATCCAAGAGTGACTGCGATAGTAGAAATATTAGCAGCAATGGAGAAGATTATGGAGCAAAGATATGATTCGAGAAGTATAATTCAGTGAGAAAAATTTAGAAAGAGAAAGATAGAGATGATAAGAAATTCAGAAGGTTAGAATTAGGGAGAACACAAAGAATAAATGCACCGGCGCCATTGCGAAACGATTCTGAGCCATGTCGTCTAAGGTCTCTAACCATCGGTGACTTTCGTCTCGCGCACCCCAACCACGTACCCTACATCTACCAACATGACTGAGTCCACTTGTCCAGTGAATTAATGGATTTCTGACATGCTTTGGTTTGGCCGCCCATAGCTTCGTTCCAAACCTTCTCCTACACTACAAAACATACCTCTTCGAGGCAGTCGGTGGTTGGGCATACGTAACACATGTCCCCCAACCACCTCAACTGATGAAGTTTCATCACTTCATCTACTGATCTGCCATTCTTACCTAGAACTCGTTTCCTAACGACATCATTGCTTACTCGTTCGTCCCAACATACACGAGCAATGCTTCTAAGACACCTATGATCGAAGACTAGTAACCTACGAACATCTTCTACTCTTAACGGCCATCTTTCGCATCCATATAGTAGAACAGAGCGAACTGCTGCACAGTACACCCGTCCTTTGGTTAGCGAACGGATATCTCGCCGGCGCCATAGTT